AAAAAAAAAAAAAAAACAAAAGCCATTCACAGAATTGTGCAACCACCACCTCTTTCTTTCTTGTTAGCTGTTAGTGCCCAGCTCCTCCCTTTCCAAACACTCCCTGTGCAGGCGGTTGTAGGCTTTGTGTTTCTAAAACCGTCCTGTGTGTGGAGATGTGTAGTCCATAGGCTTTACACGGGGTTCCTTTCACTTAGCATAGTGTTATGGTCTGTCTGTACCATTCTCAGTCAGAAAGCAGCTTTGTGACAAGGGATCCTTTACTTCCCCCTGCTTTTTACCAGTGCCTATGCAGCAGCCCAGTGCCCCCTGGCACACAGCAGGAGTGGATGACTTTGCCAGCTTCCAGCGCAAGTGGTTTGAGGTGGCCTTTGTGGCAGAAGAGCTTGTGCACTCTGAGATTCCGGCCTTCCTCCTGCCCTGGCTACCCAGCCGGCCAGCCTCTTACGCAAGCAGGCACAGCTCCTTCAGCCGAAGTTTTGGAGGACGGAGCCAGGCAGCTGCACTGTTAGGTAAGTTCTTGACCTAGTTGGAGTCTGGGAACAGCAGGTGGCTGGGGAAGGGAGGTCACTAGCCTTCTAGCATGTATAAGGCCCTACTTAGAACCACAAGAAAATTGTTTGTTTGAGAGAGGGTCTTACTGTGTGGTCCTGGCTGGCCTGCAGTGAGCAAAGTCCACTTGCCTCTGCCTGATTTAAAGCAGAGGCTCTTAACCTGTGGGCCTTGACCCCTTTCACAGGGGTCGCCTAAGACCACCGGAAAATGCAGATGTTTACATTACGATTCATAACAGCAACAGCATCACGGTTATGAAGTAGCAACAAAAATAATTTATGGGGGAGGTCACCACAACATGAAAGACTATGTTAAAGGCTCACGGCATTAGGAAGGTGGAGGATCACTGGTTTAAAGCCATGTACCACCATGCCTAGCGAGAAAAAAAGTATGTTTCTAAGTAAAAACGAGTAAATTAAGATACCTTATGACTGGGTGTGGTGGGCTCCATTTTAATCCTAGGACTTGGGAAGCAGAGGTAGGAGGATCTCTGTGAGTTCAAGGATAGCCAGGATTACATAGAGAGACCCTATCTCAAAATACCAAAAAGAGAAAAAAAGATAATCTCTTTCTGGCCAGATGTGGTTGGTGGTACAGATCAGTAATTCTAGCACTTGAGAGGCAGAAGCAGAGCAGGGATTGTGAGTTTGAGGCCAATCCAGGCTGCATTGTAAGGCCCTGTCTCAAAAAACTAACCAATTTATTTATTTGCTAAATAAATAAACAGGAAAAAAGACCTAAGATGACTTACAGAAGAGAAAGACCTGAATTTCACTACTGCCTGTGATTCAGTTGGGTTTTTGTTTGTTTGTTTGTTTTACTGTTGCTTGGGGGTGGCTTTTTGTTTGCTTTTTCCTTTTTTAAAACATATGAGTCTCATTTGGAAGTAGCGGCAGAAAGCTGTTTTGAAATGCCTAGTGTTGATGTATGGACCTTTGACTGGGCCTGTGGTGGCTCCCACTTCCCCATCCTTAGCCTGTGTCACTGAGCTGGAATGCTACAGAGGCATCTTAGAGTCTGGCAGAAACAGTACCACATGCCTTCCACTCTTGCTCGTGCACATCCTTCTCAGGCTTGCCCTGACAGTTGTTAGATCTTGGAATCAGGAGAGACTGTTGCATTCTTCTATCCAAACTGACCCCTAAACTTTTTCCAAAGCATCCCTGATGAATATGGAGCTAGCTTCCTTTTGAAAACTTCAGTGTGGCACTCACTGTTGAGACTTGCTCCATTGTGAGGCAGGTCTAGTTGTGAGAGCTGGACTTCAGTGTTCTTTCTCCTCTTGTGATTCTGATCTGCCCCCTAAAGTGTTGACTTTGTTTCTCTTCCGGGCTTGTGCACATTGATTAGACTTCCCATGTAGCGGGCTATACCTTTGTCCATACTGAAAGCCTGCTAGAAGCATCTGATTTGTCAAATCTTCCCTGGAAGCACAAATCCAGTGATTTGGTAATTACCGCTTGGGTGCCCTCTAGACTCACCTATTCTACACTTAACAGACCTGATAATAGAAGAGAGATGTTCAAAGTCACTGCTGATGGTTATCACTTGCCTTTGGTTTTATGACTGAGGCTCTTTTACCTGGAGTGCAAACCCAGAGAACACAGCCTTCTTTGATGTGGACTGTTGAGTAAAGGGCTCCTGAGAGTGTCATAAATCAGGAACATGAAGCCCAGGCAGAATCTAGCTTCAGTGAACATTTTAGTATCAGAGTGACCAAGTAAGGGTACCAAATGTGCCTCGAGTGTTCATCAAGCTTTGAGCATTAGTGAGTCTCATGCCATAAACTGGAAGGAAGGCTTAATGGGAACAGAGAAGAGAGGAGACACAAAGTAGCCGCCAGAGGAGAAGGCAAGTGAGGGAGTCTATAAACCTTTCTCACCATGTGTTTCTTGGCTGGGCTGCCCTATCAGTTTGCAGACAAGGAAGCAAGATTTTCAGAGCCATGTGTGTGGCGGCAATCTCAGGAGCTTGGCTCTTCAGCTTCAGATCAAGAACTTTGCCCATTCTATATGTTCTAGTACTGGGAGAGAGTCATTCAGGGTCTGAGCTAATGCTCTCCTGCCTTCCAACAGAAGCTCATTAAATTTGTTGACTTAGGAGCCACTCACAGCTTCTATGTGCAGAGCCCAGAACCTCACTGACTCTTTCAGAGAAAGAAAAACTGTGAGGAGAGGGATATGAGAGCAGATCCTGATTTATGGAAAACCTAGGTGTGCTGAGTGTGGTTAGTGTCCGTGGAGGTCACAGCCCTGTGATAGGATAGGGTTCATTAGAACTTTCATTTCCTGGGAAAATATTGTATCTGTATCACTCTTTGACTCTTCAGTCTGTGAGGCAGGATCTTTCCCTGGGGCTTTGTGTTTTCTCTGCTCAGCTGGAAGCTAGCAAGCCCCAGTCATCCTCCTGTCTCTGTCTCCTTTGGAGCTGGTTGCAAGTGTGTAGGGATACCTGGCTGGTTATGTAGGTACTGGGGTCAGAACTCTGGACTCCATTGATTGTGCAACAATTACTCTTAAGTGATAAGCCATTTCTCCAGCCCCCAGATTTTGTTTTTTGAGACAGGGTCTGACTATATAGCAAAGATGTCCTCTAACTTATATATCTCCTGCCTCAGCCTTCTGAATGCTAATATTATAGGTTTAAGCTACCATGTGTGGCTATAATCACTAATTTTCTTAAAAGGAATTTTAACTTTTCAACCCAGTTGAGCAAAGACTTCTCATAGATCCCCTGCTCCTCTCACACCCAGCCTCCTTCACTGTCACCCCTCACCAGAATGACATTTGTTCTGATCACAAACCCACATGAATGCACTATCATCACCCAAAATCCACAATTTATATTAGGGCTTTCCTCTTGGTTTTGAACATTCTGTGGGCTTGAATAAATTTACAGTGGTGTAACATACAGAGGAGCTTATTACCCAAAAATTTCATCTGTTTTTATAAAGTTTTATTGAAACATAGCTGAACCCATTCTTTGATGTAATGTCTGTGCAGCTTTTGCCCTACAGTAGCACAGCTGCTCACAGACAGCTCATAAAGCATACAATATTTATTACCTAGTGGCAAGCAGAACAAGTGTTTTGTAGACCCCTGAGCTGTTGACTGGTGATTTTCAGAGATAGGAACCTCTGTGGGCACTTCTGCAATTTCACATTTATGGTGCTTAGCTGTTCGTTCTTCTACATTATCCCACTCCTGTGCCTCTCTCTCTCTGTCCTCACCCCCGCTGTGTGCTGACACAGCTGCCACTGTCCCAGAGCAGAGGACTGTGACCCTGGATGTTGATGTGAACAACCGAACGGACCGGCTGGAGTGGTGCAGCTGTTACTACCATGGAAACTTCTCTCTCAATGCAGCCTTTGAGATCAAGCTACACTGGATGGCGGTGACTGCCACAGTACTCTTTGAGATGGTGAGACCATCACCTCACTTTATGGCAAGGGGGGTGCTTTGTGGTTCCTGTCACTTCCACATAACCTTTGACCTGTTAGGATAGCCTCAGCACATTAGACACAGAGGGAGTTCAGAGTGTCCGTGCTTCTCCGCCTCGGCATTACTGATTGGGGCCAGACGATTATCCGTTGTGAGTGACTGTCGTGCCCGTTTGTAGGTTGTTGAACAACATTCTGGCCTCTGCCTATTGAATACCGGCAGCACACACTAGCTGTGCTAACCAAACGTCTCCCAAAACTTGGAGCCACTGGTCCAGAGTGAAAAGCAAATGTCCACCTCTCCCTTGTGTCCCGGGACTTCCGTCTAAAAGCAGCCATCACTATCACCATGTGTGGAACACAGGCTTCTGTGTATGTACAAAACAGGGCTTGTGGGCCGGCCATGGTGGCTCACACCTAAAAACAAAAGTCTCAGCACGGGGAATGCTGGGTGAAAATTACCACAAGTTCAAGGCCACTTAGCTACATACACACATTCCAGGTCAGCCTAGAATTCAGAGTGAGAATGCGCTTAAGCACACATGCTGGATACATATTATTTACATTGTGTTTTTCTGTTTCCTGTGTATCTTCTATACCAACATGAATAAGTCTGCTTTGTTTTTTACTTGTTGGCTTTCTTTTTTTTTTTTCCCTCATTGTTTCCAATGGCTACAGAATATTCTAGTATTTATTTATTCCATAGTTTACCTCACCAATTCCCAGTTGGTGAATGTCACTGCTTTTAACTTGTGGCTCCTCAAACAAGAGTGAGTTTGTCTTCGGGGGGCAGTATACTTTTGGCAGTATCTACAGGTATCTTTGTCACCCCAAACAGGAGGAGGGTTGGATGTATTATTAGCGTTCAACGGACAGCAACCAGAGTTCTCAGTGTTAATGATCAGGTCCCTCAAAGAAGTAACTGGCCCTCAGTTTCACACGTGTTAGCTGGCCTTGCCTGACTTTCTTTCTGCTAGTCTATCTGGCCTCCCTGTGTGTCCTGTGCTGTGAAGCCAACCCCCAGACCACTGCCCATCCCCAGCCAAGGCACTAAAGCACTCCTTACAGTCTGCTTCTCTCTTTTTTTTTTTTTTTTTTTTTTTTTTTAAGATTTATTTATTATGTGTACAGCATTCTGTCTACATGCATGCTTGCAGGCCAGAAGAGGGCACCAGATCTCATTACAGATGGTTGTGAGCCACCATGTAGTTGCTGGGAATTGAACTCAGGACCTCTGGAAGAACAGCCAGTGCTCTTAACCTGAGTCATCTCTCCAGCCTCTGCTTCTTCTTTTATGCTCACAAGTTCAGCCCCCCAAAATGTTTTCATGTATCACTTGAGCCCCACTCCCCTCTAACGCCAGTCCAAACTGCATCACGTAGCTGAGAACAGCTGGAAAGTGAAAACAATTATTTAGTGAATGGTGGGAGATGTCTTGAGAGAAATAAGTGCAGTACAGGATAGCAAGGTAATTTTCAAGATTGGTAAGCCTGATTCGGTCTTCCAAAACATGGAACATTGGGGCTATTTCTCTAGGTCTGTTTCTGTTTGGCATTGGTATCTTCAAGGACTCCTCCCCTGGGAAGGTACTTATCCAAGGAGCATCTGTAAGATCTGAGTTAAGGGAAGGCGGTATCCAGGGAGATGGCTCACTGGGTAAAGTCCTTAATTGTGCAAGATTGAGGACCTATGTTCAGATCTCAGCACTCCCATAAAAGCCAAATACAACAGTAAGTGTCTCTAACACTAGGGCTGGGGGGGGGGGCGCGGGAACAGCACAGACAGGTAGAACTCGGGCTCAGTGGCCAAGCCAGCTTAGCCAAAATGACAGACTTCAAATTCAGCGAGAGACCCTATCTCAGAATATTGGCTTGCTGCCAAGCTTGGCAACCTGGGCCCTCCATGGTGAAGAGAGAATCCACTGACTCTCTTAATCCTACGCACACTCTACCTCTCTTTCTTTCACAAGTAAATAAAGTGGAGGAACTGGGAAGATGGCTCAGTGGATAAGGCACAACCATAAGGACCTGAGTTGGATCCCCTGAACCCATGTAAAGTCAGGATGGAAGCACCTGTCTGTATCCCAGTGTAGGGACAGAATCCCTAGAAGGTAGCCTGGCACACAGAGCTGTGAAAAGAGACCCTGTCTCAAGCAGGGTGGAAGGTGAAGAGCAACATCCAGTGTTGTGCCCTGACCTCCACACATGCATTGTGGTGTGTGTGCACACATGCAAACACACTTGTATCATGTACACACAAAATAAGGTGGAGAGTGGTAGAGGAAAACACCCAGCCTTGCCTTGTCTCACATGCACACACCAAAGATCCAAGTCAAAAAGGATACCAGCCACCAGACATGGAGGCATGCATCTGTAATCCCAGATGTGAGGCGAAAGTAAAAGGTTCCAAATTCTAGACCAGCGTGGGCTACAAAGCAAGACTGTGGCTCAAAAACACAAAACAAAACACAAGCAGGAAAGAAAGACTGTTTCAGGTGCTCAGCCAGCTCGGTTCACCTTGTGGAGGATATCAACTCTTCTCCAACAGACTGACTGTGGGATGACTGTGTCTCAAAACAACATGCAGCATGTCCGTAACACTCACATACACCTATGGAGTTACAGGCAAGCAAGAAAAGAAGTAATATTTCTGACAAAGAATTTAGCAACTCTCTTTAAAAAGTTCAGTTTTCACACCTATTCATTTAGGCCCCTCTGAAATCAGCTAATACATTTATCATAGTGTGTGTGTGTGTGTGTGTGTGTGTGTGTTGGTTTGTTTTTGGTTCTTCAAGACAGGGTTTCTCTCTGTACTCTGTAGCCCTGGCTGTCTTTGAACTTCTGGCTGTCTGTAGACCAGGCTAGCTTGGAACTCAGAGATCCACCTGCCTCTGCCTCCCTAGTACTAGGATCAAAGGTGTGCACCACACCACTGCCCAGCAAGTTTTATGTTTATTGAGCTGTAATGTAGATGACTTCTTTTAAGGCAGTGCCCATGTTTGCTACAAAGCAGATCTCCCCCTCCCCCTATCCCTCATCCCACCCCGAGACAGGGTCTCTTTGTGTAGCCCTTGCTGTCTTGGAACTCACCCTGTAGACCAGGTTAGCCTCAAACTCACAGAGATCCACCTGCCTCTGTGTCCTGAGGGTCAAGATTAAAGGAGTGTACTGCCACCTCCTGGCTTACAAATCAGATTTTATTTGAGGATAAATATTACCTCAAATAAAAAAATTATTAACAAAGCTCTAGAAATTACATAAGTCAAACTAGAGATTCTGGCTTTTCGTTTGTGTTTTGTTTTGCCTTTAATTTTTTAAATTTTACTTTGTTATTTTGTGTGTGTGAGTGTTTTGCCTGCATGTCTGTCTCTGCACCATGTAGTGCTCCCAGAGGCCAGAAGAGGATGTTGGATTCCCTGAAATGGAGTGCAGGTCCTCTGCAGGAGCAGCTAGTGCTTTTAGCCGCTGAGCCATCTCTCCAGCTCCCACTCTTGTGTCTGTATTTGTGTCTCTGAAGGAACTAAGAGTAGTTGTCCTCTGTTTTTGTTTTTGTATGTATGTAACATTTGTGTACGGTGTATGTCTGGGTGTTTTCAGGTGCACGCATGCCTGTGCAACAACCTCATGCAGGAGCACAGGCTTACAGACCCATGCTTCCATGCCAGCCTTTGTAAAAGTGGGTTCCAGGGCCTGGAGAGATGGCTCAGAGGTTAGCACTGGCTGCTCTTCAAGAAGATCTGGGCTTCATTCCTAGCACCCACGTGGCAGATCAGAACTGCCTGTAACTCCAGTTCCACACATACACATAAAAATAAAAAGAAATAATCTTTGATGTGTGCTCAGGGTATTTGAAATCAGATCCTCATGCTTCTATATCAAATACTTTACCTACTGAGCCATCAACACAGCACCTTCAAGTTTTTAAAAGATGGGAGTCTTGATACACTACCCCACCCAGTTTAGAAACCCTGGCACAAGTGGTCATCCTGCCTTAGTCACCCAAGTCAAGTAATTGGGACTATGAATATGTGCCACCATCCTCAGCCTGTATCTTTTAATGCTTGACTGAAGCAGAGGAGCCCAGAGTTCAGACAAGCCTGGGCAACATTCTGACACCCTATCTGGAAAAAAAAGAAAAAATGGATGTGATTCTCATCAGATCTCACCTCTATGACAAAGCCCCATCCATGAGCTTCTTATTTCTTTTGTTTATAGGGTGGGGTGAGTGTTCTCTGAATGGAAATCAGGACTTCCCCCTGGACAAGCTATCCATCACTAGCATAGAACTTTAGCCTGGGGTTTCTGTCTTCAGACTTGGGGTAGGGAGAGTTGTTTGGGTTTGGTTTTGGTTTTGGTTTGTTTGTTTGTTTTTTTGAGACAGGGTTTCTCTGTAGCTTTTGGAACTCACTTTGTAGACCAGGCTAATCTTCGAGAGAATGCTGAGATTAAAGGCGTGCACCACCACGGCCCGGCCTGTTTTGTTTGTTTGTTTTTACTTTACCTGTATGTGTGTGGACCAAGGTCTGGATGTGGAAGTCAGGGGATAAGTCAAGGGAGTTGGTTCTCACCTTCCACTGTGTGGGTCCCAGGGAAATAAAACTTAGGTCACCAGCACTGATGGCAAGTGCCTTTACCAAACACTGAGCCATCTCAACCAGCCCACCAGTTTGGTTTTTTGTTTGTTTTGAATATCCATTTCATGTTTTTAAAAGTGTATTTCAAAAAAATCTTACATAGTCCCCTGAGGGAGCATCGGTTGTTGGAGTTACTTAATAGGAACTCTGGCTTTCAGGAAGGTAGTTTTGGAGTTTCCCCAGAGTGTACTGTCTTGTGTGCAAGAGCTGGTCACTTTGGCAAGAAGCCGCTGCAGTCATCTCCCACCCTACATCAAGTAACAGTGGGTGGTTTTCTTATTTGATACACTGGACTTGCTACACAACAAAACTAGAAAGGTTCAGCCTTTGTCCTGTGACCTTGCTTCTGACATTCCACAGAATAACAAGGGGCTCAGCTCGGACAAGTTAGTTCCTTGCAAAAGAAACGGAAGGTCAGAAGCTCGGGCTATAAAGAGGAGCTGTATGCTCAAATCACAGTTTTTCTAGCATTCGTCAGGAAGCAAAATTGCTCTTGTTCCTGAACAGGACTGATTAGAGCCAGAGAACATGGATAATTGAACTTGCCTTTCGATGTGTGTGCCGCCACTCTGGCAGGTCTGCTTTTTGGAGGCAGAGCTATTTTCTCTGATCTAAAAGACCTGGAGATGATGCGGTTTCTGTGCTTTCTTCCAGGTCCAAGGTTGGCATCGAAAAGCTACCTCCTGTGGCTTCTTACTCGTCCCGGTTTTGGAGGGTCCTTTTGCACTGCCCAGTTACCTGTATGGCGACCCTCTGCGGGCCCAGCTCTTCATCCCACTCAACCTCAGCTGCCTGCTCAAGGACGGCAGCGAGCACCTGTTCGACAGTAAGAGCTGCTCCCTCCTAAGGGTCGGTCTGTCCGTCCGTCTCACCCAGTCAGACGCCCTTCCTAGACCAGCCCGTGCTCTCTCATAAGTAGACTCTGGGTGGAAGATGAAGCCATCAGTGAAACCGACAGCAGGAGGAGCCTGACCATTCAGAGAGAGAAAGGGGGCAAGTGGGAAGTGGGATGGAGGGGAATGAGGACACTTGTGTGAGATGTCCAGTGAACATAGGCCTAAAGAAACAAGCCACTACAGCTGCAGGCTAGTCAAGAGAGCCAGTCTACCAGGACAAAATAATCTGGGTTTTGCCCTGGGTTTTTTTTTTTTTTAATTTTTCAATTTTATTTTATTTCATGTGTGTGAATGTTTTGCCTGTATTTATGTCTGTGCCCCGCACGTGCCCACAGAGGCCAGAAGAGGGAGTCGAATCTCCTAGAACTGGAGTTCTGGATAGTTGTGAGCCACCCCGAGGGTTCTGGGAACCAAACTTAAGTCTTGTGCAAGAGCAGCCAAGACTCTTAACCACTGAGCTGTCTCTCCAGCCTCTGTGCAGGATATTTGATCAGTGACCGGGTCATCTGGGACACATCACTTAGTGCTCCTGAGCTTTGAGTCCTCCTTGTGTGGGATGGCTAGAGCCGATTTGCCAGCTCTGGAAGGCCAGAGTGAAGCAAGCAGTGGGAGAGGGCTCCGTGCACGGCCCATGTCTGCACCGTGTTCTGCCATGTGCTGTGTGCTCTCAGCCACCCGATCACCTGCGATGATTGTCTGAATTTGAGGAGAGCCTTTTGAATGCTAGTCCATGCAAAAAGGCCCCACAGAGGCCATCAAAAGCAAAACAGGAAGTATTGTCCTGCTGTGCAAAGCTGGGACCGGCTTCCTGAGTGTTCTCCAGTGCTGCGTCTTGAAGACCCTTCCTTCTGTCAGAAAGGGAGCACAGGGGACCACCCTGACATGCCCTTGACCCACTGGGATGTTGAGCTCTATCCCTATCCACACCTCCCATTGCTGTCACAGAGCACTCACTGCAGATGAATGGATAAATAGCTCCCAAAGAGCTTTCAGTGAGTGAGTTCAAGATGACATTTTCAAAAGCCAAAGGCTGGAGTTGATGCTAATGTGTCAGGAGCTATTTGATAGAAAGATTATAAATGCGAAAGACACAGCTTTGGTGGAAGAGAAATGTTCTTCCCACTCCCTTGTAAGTTTTTGTTACGCCAAACGGCAGAGGCTGAGGAGGGCTTGTCAGGTAGGGCAGGCTAAACGTAGTGATCCTGTGGTTTTACGACAGGCTGCCCTGCTAGTTCCAATAGTCTGTACTCTCTGCTTTCAACGGAGAAGGCATTTTTGTACCTGAGCCCTGCAGAGTCAGAGTCCTTCTGCATCAGCGGCCGGAGATTCTGAGCTGCACAGAGCTTACAAAGTCCCTTTGCACACATACACATTCCTGTTTACCTCACAACATGGCCAAGGGAGGACCATTTATGTAGTCCCAAAATGTGAATGATTATGCTCCTTCGCGAGTTTTAAGCCAGCAGCTCACTGTAGTATTGTCAGTATCTTTAGGGGTACAGCTACCTTAAAAGGTCTAGAGATGCTCTACTCATGGTGAGAGGATTGCTTGCAGGGCTGGCATAGAGCTGATGGTTTCCCTGCCAGTTCTGACCTGCTCTTCTAAACCATCTTCAGTTGGTCGCCATGGTTACAGAGAAAAGTCCTAGTTTAAAGGAATAAGGACACAAATCTAAAATTCAATTTTCTAGATTCTGTGTCTCTTTTCTTCTTACCTCCACTTCTTCTAACAGTGAATCTGAATCTTAAAACTGGCACAGATGTGGTGTGTGTGTGTGTGTGTGTGTGTGTGTGTGTGTGTGTGTCTGATTGTGTATATGGATATGTTTCTGTGTTTGTGTGTGTAGGTGTGGGTGTATCTGGGTGTGTGTGTCTGTATGTGGGTGGGTGTGTATGCCTGTGTGCGTCTGTAGTTGTGTGTGTCTATATGTCTCCAATTTATTTTAAAGAAAGTTCTAATTATGGACAGAGTAACAAAGCCACTGCATCCCTAGTCTTTGGGTTGTCTATCCTGTTGTTGGGACCCTCAAAACCTCCATCCAGAGAGCATTCCAGCTCTGCTTCTTATTGCCATGTGACAGCGTGCTTGACCTTCCCACCTCCTTTCTGCTGTTGGTCCTCAGCAGCTGCCTTGTGGAAGAGGGAGGCTGGAGCCATTCAGTCAGTGATGGAGGAGCAAATTCTGCTCTGTTCTCCTCCCTCTGCAGCTAATGACTTCTCAAGAATTCCTTTTTTATTTCCTTGCTTCAATTTCCTTACCCCTAAAATGGAGCTTGTAATATTGTCTTTCTGTACAGGGAAATGGAAGATTAGTGATAATAGAAAGGTGGGTGGGTGTTGTTTTCAGAAGTAGCTAATGTACACTTCAGGTTTATGTTTTAATATACTTTCAAAACCAGGTCTATGTGTAAGTGGAGGTAGGAGGATCTAGAGTTCAGAGTCATCTGGCTACCTAGAGTTTGAGACCAGCCTGGGCTATGTGAGACTCTGTCTCAGAAACAAATAAAAATTAATGGACTCTTTTCAGTTTTAGGTTTGTTTGTTTTTTGAGACAAGGATTTTTTTTGTGTTACAGCTCTAGCAGTCCTAGAACTCACTTTGTAGACCAGGCTGGACTTAAACTCACAGAGATCCGCCTGCCTGTGCTCCCAAGTGCTGGGATTAAAGACCTGTGCCACCACTGCCCAGCTTCTTTTCAGCTTTAGAATAAGACATTATATAAGCCTCGTTCTGATGCTCACACTAGCTCCTGAGGACTACACCTTTCTTGACTGTGGTGGAACTTGGGGAGGGATTATGGGATACACAGCTGTCCTTCCTTCTAACTTTGGGTGGGAATTAAAAGTTCAGATACAAGAGACAAGAATTGTCAAGAGCAATGAAGAGAACGGTGTGAGTTTATTACAGACCTTGTGATCACAGCTCAGTATTTATTCCTTATTCCTTTCAGGCTTTGAACCAGAAACATACTGGGACCGAATGCACCTTTTCCAGGAAGCCATTGCACACAGGTTTGTCCATTAGCAAGAAGGAACAGTGACCAAATCACTATCTTTTTTCCAATAGCAGTTACCAAAATGAAACCCAGTTCATTCTGTTCCTGAGGAAAAGGATCTGTCTTTCTAGTGACAGACTCCCTGCCTACCTCCACTCAGACTCAGAGATAAATGCTGCCCTGCCAGTCCTGTGGCTGTTGCCTTTCAGACCTCATTGCTTTGTTACTCTGTGAAGGGAGAGTGCAGAGCTTTGTAAGTAGCCTACAAGAGCCCAGTTATGCTCTGGAGGAGACAGGTGAAGCGAAACATTGTAAAATTTGCAGTAAACCTTCCCCCTATGTTAGAAAGACAGTGGATTGTTTAAAAGCAATGAATGAGTAGATATTACTTGGCATTGGATCTGGACACCAGAAGTCTTTCCCGGGTTGTCTGATTAGCTGTCTCCTCTACCAGCGCAACAAACCACATTGTTTCCAAGCATCTCTCAGCTGCTGTCCACTTGCTACTTCATGTTCCTCACGTGAAAAAAGGCCCTGTTGTTGTTTCAGTGACCCTCTGCTTGATGGCCTTCTTTGCTGTTGCTCATACATTTTAACTGCTACCACCTGCACCCGAATATACCCCCAACACCCACCATTTATTCACAACATCTCTGACCTCTCCCACCTTAGACCCTACCCTAAGATCTGGACCCTATGTATGTGCTCAGTAAAGGGTACAGTATGAATGAGGTGGTGACTCACTTCCTCCTACTCCGAAAATGGTGTAGATTTGAGCAGAGAGAAGGGAAGGAGGGAGCCCAGTAGTCCCTGGAAAAGGCCTCACTGTAGGAAGTAGACAGGTCTGGTCCACCCCCACCTCTACTCACAGCGGTGGAACTGTAGACGTCCCATGGCAAGTCTTAGAGCTTAGTCTTGCTTTTCTCACCCCTCTAGGGGTTTCTGGGTTCAGCTGGTAAATCTGCAAGAGACAGTAGTTTTAGGATGCCCCAGCTAACCACAGCTGGTGAGCAGCTCCTTGCCTAGTCACTACACTTCTTGACTAGGTGTCTCCTGGATATGACCTTTAGTTGCCAAATCTACTTTGTCTTCACAGTATCCTGTTCTCCTAATCCTCTTCAACCCAGGACCTGGTTGTATTTTCTCTAACCTGCTGCCCTGTCCTCTTCAGCCTCTTTTCTAACCTCTGACTTCCTTACATGTCTTCAAAGCTGTCCAGTGGGTGACCCTTTGCCTAAGCCCCGCCTCCTCTGCCTCTCAGTGTCTCTCTCCACCAGGGACTCTCAGGTCCCTCTATTTTGAATTCCTCTCTCTCTTTCTCACTTTTTTTCTTTAGTAGGGCTTTATTGTATATCCTAGGCTGGCCTTGAACTCACAATCTCCTGTCTCTACCCCTGGAGTGTTGAGATTACAGGCTATACCAGTACAACAGGTTTAAATTCCTCTCTCCTTCTTTGTAAAACTATAGACTAGACTGCTTGTAGGCCCTTGGAGGGCAGAGTGTAATTTTCCCATCCTTGTTCCCATCAGAGTGCCAGCAGAGTGCCTTTCCCTGAGTAGTTGTGCTGCCCATGGCTTCTGGTGCAGTGTGGACTGAGCCCAGAGCCTTGTGGGTGCGAGGCCAGCAGTCATCCACTAAGCCGCATCCCTGGTCCTACTGTGCTTGTGCATGGAGTGGAATTCCAGGTGGAAATGTGGCTCTGAAATGATAGTCCCCCCAAAGGTCTGTCTTTAAAACAGCTGGAAATGCCCTCATCCCCCCCCCCCATTTTCCTTTGTGGGGACTCCTAGTTCTTCCTTCTACGTATTCTGGATAGTGGGGGTGAGATAGCACAGCATCTTGGGGGTGGATGCCCAGTGCCTTCACTGCACTCTCAGCTTGCCCCAAGTGGAAAATCGTTGGTCTGAATTACAGGTTTTCTGAGGATTTTTAAGGGGTTCGGGTTTGTTTGATTGAGTTTTTTATTGTTTGTTTTAGGTTTTGAGGGGACAGGATCTCACTGTGTAGTCCTGGCTGGCCTGGAACTCATTTTGTAAACCGCACTGGCCTTGAGATCTGCCTGCCTGTCTTCTAAGTGCTGGGGGTAAAGGCATGACCCACCATGCCTGGCTAAATTGTGTATTAAAATCAAATATCTTGAAGATGGAGAAATGGCTCAGCAGCGGAGAGCGATTGCTCTCCTTGTAGAGGACTCAGATTTGGTTTCCAGCACCCACATTGGGCCGCTCACAGCTGCCTATCACTCCCGCTCCAGAGGACCCAACACCCTCTTCTGGCCTCCAAAGGCACTTGTACTCATGTGCACATACAGACAAGCAACCACACACACACAGATAATAACAATTTTTAAATTAAAAAAACTGTTTTGGGCTGAGCCTGTGGATCGGTTGGTAGAACGCTTACCTAGTGCACACCAGTCACCACGTGAAACTAGGCACAGTGGTGCACAACTGTACTCTAGCACTCAAGAGGTAGCGACAGGAAGATCAGTGGTGGAAAGTTATCCTCAGCTAAATTATGATTTTGAGGCCAGCCTGAGATACCGGAGACCTTGTCCCAAAAGTAAATACTATAGAATAAAAAGGGTCTTGACTGGTGTCCTAAGGAAGAAATGAGGCAAGAAGCCTCTGGTCCAGATGATCGTGCTAAGGAAAGCAGTTGGCTTGGTTGGAGAGTCAGGAGGGAACCCAGAAGTGTCCTGTAGACACCGTCCCTTGAGTTTGCATACGTGGTGTGTGTGTAGGGGATGCTAGCACAGAGCTGGCAGCTTGGAGGATCCAGCACAGCACTTCCCCAGAGAGCTCGGTCCAGGAAAGAAGACACATTTTACCTCCTACATCACTGCCTTCATTACATAAACCCCTCAGACACAGAGGGCAGAATCTGGGCACATCTGTTAGCACGTCCTTTACAGCTCTTAGCAGGTGGGGCTAGAATAAATGTGCTTTATGGAAATAGAAAAACCAGGAATAGAACAAGCTATAGATAAGAAGTGGAACAGGACAAGTCACAGATGAGAAATGGCGTCTGCTCATTTCCCATTTCTAGAGCACAGCAAGGCAGAGAGCCTTGGATTGCTGACCCTCACCTCTAAGGAAAGAGTTTTAATTAAGGTGCTTCATTCCATTTCAGTGAAGGCCTTTATTGAGAACCTTCTTAATGCTTAGCATGACAGCAGTGGAGACAGATGTGGCTAAGGAAGCAGGACAAAGGGGCAGATGGCAGGACCGGAAAGTGAAGGTGTGGAGTGGGGGCGCATGCAGGGAGGGGATGTGGAGAAGGAAGGTGCTCAGCGGGGTGGAGCCTGGGTAGAGTGCTGCAGTAGCATAGTGGATGTGAGCAGGAGAGCCTCGGAGCCTCAGAGTTGGGAGGCAGGTGTTGAGAAGGGCCGAGGAAAAAAATAAGGGGCCCGCATGTTCCACACAGGGGGCCTTTCCATATCCCAGCCTCTTGGGCTGTCAGAATCTTAGCCACACACTGCCCCGTTGCTCTGGCTAATGAGACCACGTGCGTGTGTTTCTGTCGTTACTATAGGTTTGGATTTGTACAAGATAAGTATTCTGCCTCTGCTTTTAACTTCCCTGCTGAGAACAAGCCACAGTATATCCATGTTACAGGTGAGGAATTGCGGGCAAAAATTGGGTGGTTCCCCGAGCACCTGCCACAGGCACACGGATCCTGCCCGAGCCCTGCCCGAGCCTGCCCGAGCCCTGCCCGAGCCCTGCCCGAGCCCTGCCCGAGCCTGCCCGAGCCCTGCCCGAGCCTGCCCGAGCCCTGCCCGAGCCCTGCCCGAGCCTGCTGTGGCAGGACCACCGGAGCCGAGCCTGCGGGTGCTCCCCGGTGGTGTTCACTCGGGGCCGCCCTCTCCCTCCAGGAACAGTGTTTCTTCAGCTGCCTTACTCCAAACGCAAGTTTTCTGGGCAGCAGCGCCGGCGGCGGAACTCCACCAGCTCCACCAACCAGAACATGTTCTGTGAGGAGCGAGTTGGCTACAACTGGGCCTACAACACCATGCTGACCAAGACATGGCGCTCCAGTGCTACAGGGGACGAGAAGTTTGCTGACCGGCTGCTGAAGGACTTCACAGACTTCTGCATCAACCGTGACAACCGACTGGTCGTGTTCTGGACAAACTGCCTGGAGAAGATGCATGCCAGCGCCCCATGAAGCCAGGCCGCTCGACCTAAGAGGTTGTGGGCATTCTGGGGCTGGCCTTCCTGTTAGGCTCTGGGCGTCAGGCTGCCACTGTCAGTGAGCAGGGCCACTGCCGCTCTTGGCCTTTGTACAAGTTTGAGCGAGGAGAAAGACTGGAAGCTGCTGCTGCCACTACCACCACCCAGAGCTTGCCATCATGTGCCCATGGCAGGGGGAGGCACAGATTGTCCGTGGGAGGGAGTCAGTGTCTGGGAATAGGGTAGGCAGCTTCCATTAGGGTCCTCTTCTTTCACCAGCAGTGGGATATTCAGAACAGAACCTCCCGATTCCTGCCCAGGAACGTGCGTGTATAGCATAATTCTGTGACATAGTGTACCATTGGCTCGCACCAGGTGTACATATGTGTACATAACAGAAGTAAATAAAGCCCCCCATACAGTGTCCCCCGTTCCCAGCCTTGTTTCTAGCAGTCTCACCCTCACCCTGGCTGGACAGCCAGGCCAGTGAGGTCACCTCAGGTGGAAGAGGGCTTCAGAACACACTGGTCTCGAGTCTGGCTATGAGTCGACTTGATAGGTTTCTTTCCAAAATCCCATGGGCAGGAGTGAGTATCCTTCCGGACAGGACTGGTGAGCAGGCGGTAAGTATACTAAAGCTCTGGGCTGGTGCTGTCAGAAACATGCCTTGTGAGTGGTTGCGCTGGCAGCCATCATGGCGTCTCTGACATGCAGAGGAGAGCTTAGCCTCGGGGAGGGCAAAGACTGCAGAGCAAGGGGAGGATCTGGTAGCCATGACTGCTACTTCTTCCACGTTAATCACACACCCTGTTGACTTCCCTTCTTATCAGCTTTCGAACCCTTCACCTCTCCTGGGCCCTGTGCTCCAGCTCCGGGTCCAGCCCTCCTCGTCTTTCTTACTTACATCCCTAGGAAACCTAACTTGTCTTGGTCCATCCTACTGTTCTCTACCGAGAAGCTGGGTGGGGTTTTGTTATTTGTTTTTTAAAACTACTCCAAGCAGATATTTCAGAGACCGAGGCAGAAGGATCATGGAGTTCCGGGCCAAGTTGGCCTCTGCAGTGTGTACTGAGCAAAGCTGAGCTGTGTGGTGAGACTGTCTCAAAAGTCAAATGGGGCTGAAAAGATGGTGCAGTTAAGAGCACTTAACTGATCTTACAAAGGACCTGAGTTCTGTGCCCGGCAGCCATGTGGCCACTCATAACCATCTATAGTTTGAGTTCCAGGGGATGCCACATCCTCTTCTGACCTCTTTTGGCACCAGGTACACATTGGTACACACAGGCACCTGGAGGCACTCAAGTGACCAGGCCCTGCCCCTCAGGACCTCCAGCTGCCAGGTTCCACCCACAGAACACTAACTGCCCTAACGGCTGGACCCAGCCCCCACCCTGCGGAGTAAAAAGCCCAGGACTTGAAATCCCACCAATCCCCACCCTGAAAATCTCCACCCCGGAAAGCTCCCCACCCCGACCCCCAAAGAAACACTATATAAACCCTGCCTTCTGCTCAGTTCTCTGCTGCTTCTCACCCGAAGGTAGCCACCCTCCTGGGGTCTGTCCTCCCAATAAATCTCCTGTGAGGTTTGTTGTGCTGTGTGACTTTGTAGAATTCCTTGGCTCCTAACTGCCAGGATACCTTTCCCCTCAGCCATAACATTTACACATGTATGTACATACAAGCAAACACTCATACACATAGAATAAAAATAAATAAGTCTTAAAAACAAACAGGAAACTCCACTCCAATTGTACTTGCCACTTAGAATTCTCTTTATGTCCTGGACTCCAGAAACCTTAGGTGTGGTGTTGGAGATGTAGCTCAGAGAGCTAACGTAGTAGGCACCAGGCTCTAGGTTCATAGCCCGGTGGGTTGTTTACACAGCTACCTTGGTAGTGGTACAGTCCCTAGAACCAGGCTCTTAACCAACTCAAGTCTTCTGCACAACGCTCTTCCAAACTGCCTCATCTGGAACCTCTAATCACAGCTATTAATCCTACATGTACAGCTTCTGTTTTTTAAGATTTATTTTTTGTGTATGAGTGTTTTGCCTGTGTGTGTGTGTGTGTGTGTGTGTATGAGTGTGCATGTGCGCGTGCGTTTGCATAATGTATGCTTGGTGCCCCAGTCAAAAGAGAGCATCAGATTCCCTGGAACTAGAGTTCAGATGGTTGTGAGCTGTCGTGTGGGTGCTGGGCACTGAACCTGGGTCCTCTGGAAGAGCAGCAAGTGCTCTTAATGGCTGAGCCACTTCTCCAGCCACTGCATGTGAAGCTTTTGAAAGAGTAGGCTATTATGTGAAAGTGTAGTGATTCATCCCTGTCATGGAGCAAGCCTAAAAAAAGTACCCCACCCCCCCACCCCACCCCCACCTTTTCAGTCTTCCTGTCTGTGGGAGCTGTCCTAGAGTAGTTGGAGGAGTGTGGCAGGTGTAGCTGGACTTCGTGGAGTGTACCTGTAATCCCAGCACTTGATAGACGGAGGGAGAGGTAGGAAGATGGTTAGGAGTTTGAGGCCACTCCAGGATACATAGTAAAACAGTCACGCACACACACACGCACACACACACACACACACACACACACACACACACACACGTGCACACACACATGCACGCAAACACACGAGCAAAAAAGGCGGCTTTATGTGGGAGAACTTACTGAAAAGATAGCACATCTCTCGGGTTCTCACGTTTCCTAGGTGAGCATCTTTACTGAGTTCCATGCCAGCCTCCTCAGTGTCAGTGCTGGTCACGGCAGCTGTCGACCTGGTCAGACTGCGTGATCTTGTGTGGTCCTGTTAGCCGTCATGTGAAATCACCACTTTCCCCTCACACACATTCAGTTTTTGTAATATTCCAAAGATGACTCGGAAGGCCCCGAGAACGAAGTGGCAGAAGGGCAACTGATGAGTTAGGACACCGGGTCACTTGCCTGTCAGCTGGTCCTGAGACACCCCTGCCTTTGAACCTCAGCCCCTGCAGCCTCCAGCTTCCCAGATTCTACTGCAGTGTTCTCCTCTATCAGCATCTAGTGAGCCAGCCAGTCTCCCTGAGATCTGGCCATCTCCCTCCATCGCTGGTGCCCAACTGCAGAGCTTTGCCTCAGGAGTGACAGTCTGGAATGTGTCCCCACTAAAATTTCATGTATTTGAAACTTAACCCCGAGTCAGGTGTGGTGGCACATGACTTTTTGTTGTTGTGTTTTTGTTTTTCCGGACAGAGTTTCTCTGCGTTACAGCTCTGGCTGTCCTGGAATTCACTTTGTAGATCAGGCTGGCCTCGAACTCACAGAGATCCACCTGGCTCTGCCTCCTGAGTGCTGGGGTCAAAGGCATGTGCCACCGTGCCCAGCTGGCACATGACTTTTAATCCCAGCATAGAGACAGGTGGATCTCTGTGAGTTCAAGGCCTGCCTGGTCTACAGAGTGAGTTCCAGGACAGTAGAAGAGCACATACCAAATGTGTGTACATTCCTGGATTCCATCCCCAGCTCTGATACATTTGAAAATAAACTCGGCATTAAAAGGAATAAGGGGCCAGCAAGACAGCTCAGTAGCTAAAGTTGCTTGCCTTTAAATATGACAATTTAAGTTCAGTTCCCCAGACCCATATGGTTGAAGGAAAGAACCAGCCCCAGAAAGTTCCCTGACCTCCACACACACGTTGCAGTACTTATGTATCCACATATATACATACATGCGCAAATAAATTTAATTAAAATTTTTAAAATAACCCCTGTGCAAGGATGATGTGCAAATTCATGAAGTATTCTATATTAAAAAATTTTGAAATAAAATATATTGAAATCTGTGAGGGTTTGCTAAAGTGGATAGAAAGTAGCAAGAGAAGCGGAATACAAACTAGTTTACAGCTCTCTTCAGTTCCCAACTCACGCACTTCCTGAGTGCTTGCCACGTGCCTGAGGAGAGGTGAAAGGCCTCTGGACGTGGAGCCCAGGCCACACAGCTGAAAGGAATCCAGGGTGGGCTGCTTTGGGGATAGTGTGACTGATCCTGCACTGTGCTGTCCCTTTCACCTTGTACTGCAGGGGCAGTACATGCAACATGCCACCTGCTGCTGTGTCCTGGGATCAGGCTGGAGTCAGTCCCTCCACAGGTGACTGTATTTCATGTCTGCAGGGCAGCCCTGCAGACACACAGGCATCTTGTTGCAGGGCCTAGCTTCCCACGCAGGATCTGACAGGGAGTGGACAGTGACTGCCCTGTCCCCCAGGACTCTGCATGTGCTTCAGGCAGCTCTTCGCCCAGGAGTGCTCTCCAAGTGTGGCTTTTGCTTGTTGAAGAGCATGTGCCAAGAGCCAGGTACTACAGCCTTCAGATTTGCTCTCCATCTACTAATCTGGTGGCGGCTAATCATCTGTTACCGGTGAATCAGCTCACATTTCTTCCAAGAAGAAAATCTCAACCCGTGAGAGCAGGCCATGGGGAGGGTCTGTGTGATTCCCTGCAAACTCTTTTTCCTCTGAGCTCTAGAATTCTCCTGGGACCTCACCTGGCTGTGAATTGGAGAAATCTCAGGACCATGAGACTGCAGACCTCTCCCTTCTGACTAGGCTGTCTGTAGAGTTAACCCCTTTGGCTCCCCAGGAACCTGAAGCGGTTGCCACTGGAACCTAGACTCAGCACTGTGCTTCCTGAACAATACCAAATTGCTGACCCAAACTCAGTTCCTCCTGTCCAATATTCCTCAAATGTCTTCAGTGAGACAAAACAATTTATTTTTAAATCCATGGCATCCTGAGAGAGAAATTTCCTAACACCTTTTGATGCGTGTCCAACCCTACTGGTTCTTGGTCTACACCCTTTCCCTCCCTGCAGTCTAGAATTGGATGGTGGGGCGGGTGCTGTCTTGAAAAACAGTCTTTTTTCAAGACAAAATGTCCTGTCCCAATCTGGACAGAGTAACAAAGTGGCAAAGGTCCAGATAGACATGAGCAAGCTGGGCACAGTGGAGTGAGGCTACAATCCCAGCTACTTAGGAGGTTAAAGCAGGAGGGTGACTTTGAGCCCAAAATTCAAGGCCAGCCTGGGCTACATCCCGGGGGTCTTGTCAGAGAGGAGAGTGGGTTTGGGGGATAGAGGAGGAGGAGGAGGAAGAATCAAGCATCTTGATCTGATTTGAAAAAAGAAAAGGTCCACACAAGTGGGCCTTCCCCCGGAGAAGAAGGGAAACCCGCTACTGGCCTCTGGAGGTGAAGACCTGAGTGCTCCCGTGATGGCAATCCTAACCCCCACCTCCTGTAGTGACACTCTCTGCCAGCTTGCAAGGCCAGAGTGACTGAGCCCATCCAAGCCACAAAGCAAGTTGCAGGCAGGGCCAGTGTAGATTCCTGCTGGTGTTCGTTGCTCACATGCTTTTCTTGCAAGTTCTTTGTGTTTTTCTTGCATATTCCTGGTCTCTCCGGAGCTACTGGAAGGCAAAGAGCACACCTTGTTCATCCTTGTGTCCTCCACTGGAAGGACTTCATGAATTAGGAGCTTTCACGGTTGGCCGGACTCACACTGGGAAGGAGTACAGAGACACAGCGGCCACCGTGGAAGAGTCTGTCTGCACTGGGTAAAGTGCCACAGGAACACGAGAGGAAAGGAGAAACAGGCATTTGGGCGATACAAGAGTTTTCAAAAAGGACCTCTTTTAGTAGGAAAACGGGAAGGCAAAGGGAAGCGGGATAGAATGTTCTGGTACCAGATTAGTGAACTAAAAACCTGAAATCAGAAAAGGTATGTGGGGGTTCCTAGGCTGCCCTACCCAGCCTGTACTTTCAATGATTGATTTTGTGTGTGTGGGGGGGGCGGGGGGGGGCAGTAGTTTTCAAGTGCCAGGCTACAACCTGGAATGACAAGTGGCCCATTGTCTGGGAACCCTGAGCCAACCTGTCTCTGGGGTTACAGCAGGTGGGGCTTCGTCATGCCTCCTCTCTCAGGCTTTGCTGTTCCTAGCCTCAGATGGGATCCCATCCCGATTGGACGATGTCAGCCTTGGACCGTCAGGGGAATCGCCTTCCTTCCTGAGCCTTCCCCGTTTCTTCTCAGGCAGCCAGAATCCCTGCTCCCAGGTTCAGTGTTCTGCTTCCTCACAGTGTGATCCTGTGTCGGTCCCCCTCCCCCACTCCATCCATCTGATCTGCTGCATCTGTTTCCATGGTGACAAAATGGGAATAATCAAATCTTCACGGTATCACTCAGGGATAACTGGTGGGAGAACCTAGGAGACAAGAGCCATGAGAACTAAACCACTGCACAGGCTGTTTTTGTTGTGGTTTGTTTATTGATTCAGGGTCCTTCTATAGCCTAGGATTGCCTCAACTCCATAGTCCTCTTGCCTCTGTCTCTAGAGTGCTGACATTCCAGATGTGTGGCACCACACCCTGCTCACATCAATGCTGTTCTCCCTAATTTTTCTGCCAGCAACCTGTGCCATCCTGGGCAGTCTGTTCATGGGGGGATGGGTCAAATCTGGAATGGGATCCTGTGTCTCAGGCCTCCTTCAAAGAGGCCGTGGAGGCCATAGTGAGGATCCTTGAAGTTAGCCTTGTATGGTTGTCTGGGTGGTGCAGAGTGCTCAGGGAATATTATTTTTTATAGGGGTGATATTCGAACCCGGGGCCTCACACATGTTAAGCAAATACCCTACCCCTGAGTTGCACCCCTGACCTAAGTCCAGAAATTTAATATTTAAGGAGGTGCTGTGCATATGCCCTGCGTGGAAGCCAAATGTTCCATTTTTAATGTGCCTGGCAAGGTGACAAAGAACCTCAAATGCCACCAACCAGCCTGAAGCTTGGGAAAGGACAGAAGGAAAAGAAGAGAGAGAGCTGCCTGGGTGTTGAACGCTAGAGAAGTGGAGGTCTGAGTCCTGCTAGAGCCAGAGGACAGCACTGTGGGACGAGGCGGCAGGGTGAGAGGAGCCTCACCCCTCAGGGGAAACTGAGTCTCCAGCAATGAGAGGAATTTTCTGGGGCAACTGAGCACACGCATGGCAGAAAAAAGCAGTCTTCAGCCCCAGGGTTCCCCTCACTAGGAAGGGGGAGAGCCAGGCTTCGAGAAACAGCAGCCCTGGGGGAGCGGCCATGGCCAGCAGCCTCCTGGGGAGGAGGGAAGGACAGAGCTGGGGCCTGGGCCTTTGGCCCTGTGGTCAGAGCCACGTCTCCAGTCCTTCCTATTCTGGGGTACCACACAGACTGTTGTGGGTGGTTGGCGCTGAGAGGACCGGGGACCCCTGCGTGGCTTGGCATGCAGGATGTGTCTCTCCTCAAAGCAGAAGTGAAAGAGGGAACCATTCTTAGGAGACAAGAGGCAAGTCTGTTCACCTCCTCCATCTCTGCCTTCTGCAGGAACCAGGAGGGTGGTTGCCACCCCGGGAGCCAGCCTGCCGAGACAAGGAGCCAGCCTGGTTTGGGGGACCGTGGCTGCTGGAGGCTGGGTATGTGCCTCCTCCAGACATATCTTGGGATCTCTCTGAGTCTGCATCCTTTTGAAGCACCCCAATAACTGACTTTTTAAATCAGTTTTTATGATTTAGACTCTGAGAGAAATGGCTCTTACTACAAGCCCCTGTCTTCCTAACGGATTCAAAGCCAACCTCTCTCTGCAGAGAGCTGTACATGGTTTCTTGGCTCACTCACTGTCCGCACATTTGATGGCCATCCTCTCATGAATACATGCATCCCAACAGCCTTCTGTGACACACACACAGAGGGATCCATGTGCCATAGGTCTTGATCGCTAGCGTGACTGACAGAGGAGCTGCCACAGTGTCTAGTCACTGACATCTTCAATTGAAAGAGGAAGGCAGCTTCATATTCCTCGCAGCCGCTTCCAGGGGGCCCCACCCTTAGCTTTCAGATGGAAGGATAAGGTGGTGAGAGAGCACTGTGAGTCAGAAGAGGACCTGGGACAAGATTCTGCAGGCAGCTTGGGCCACTGATGCCACCGAGACCCCTGTGGGTATGTGTTCTGTCCTGCAGGAATCCTGCTGTGACTCTGCACAAGTGTCCCCCTGCTGTGGGAGCCTCTCCTATAGGCTGTTTCTCTCCTGAGACCTTCACCAACCAGATCCGGGCAGCTTCCTGGGAGCCCTGTCTCCCAGTGGTGACTGATCCTAGGGCTGACCACTAGCCTCCTTGAGGGTATCTAATGTCACCCTGCCTCCCATTGCTCTCTACAACAGCAAGGAGACACAGAGCTCATCAGTGGCTCCCAGAAAAGCACCATTTGTAAAGCATCTCAGGGAGGTGATGCCTGACCTCTAGTTTACAGAGGAGCCGAAGGGAATGGAAGGGAAGAACAGCCCAGTACTGAAAAGGGTGTGAGAAAGAAAGGATTTCAGGGCCTCTACAGGACCACTACTCGATAGGACTCTCTGGCTCCCTAGTTCATTGCTGCTCACTCTGAGCAGCTGAGGGTCTGCAGGTGAGCAGGCCTTCTCTGTGCTGACCCAGGAGTTCCCTGCTGAAGTCTGGGACATTCACCCAGCTGCTGAACTATGGCTCCCTCAGAAAGGCCACTGCATGGATAGGAGCGACCATTGGCGATCTTAAGGTGTTCTTCTGCACACACAGGCAAAATGGGAAGATTGGTTAAAACAAAACAAAACAAGAGCCACCATTTTCTTTCTTTTTTCATCTTTTTGTTTTGTTTTTTCCAGACAGGGTTTCTCGTGAAACAGTCCTGGCTGTCCTAGAACTTTCTCTGTAGACCAGGCTGGCCTCGAACTCACAGAGATCCACCTGCCGCTGCCTCCTGAGTGCTGGGATTAAAGGCGTGCACCACCACCGCCTGGCATAACCACCATTTTCTAATGTGTGTATATGTGTATATGTACACAAAACGCACCTGTGCACAGCGTTATGTAGATACAGGAGCAAGAAGAACACGAGACACAACGAAATACACAGTAACTATTGTTGTAGTTGTCAAGTACAGTTGGGGAAAGTGTCCCAAAGGCCAGAGAGACTGTGAGGTTGGATGGGAACCTCAAGCTATGCTGGGGCTGAGGGGTGCCTTCTGGGCATTTCCCTGGGAACCTGGTGGCTGGCAGAGCTGGCCAGAGGCAGAGAGGGTGAGGGCAGAGATGTTCTGGTTGTGAAGACTCTTGAGACCCTGGGGTGGAAAGAGGCTTCGTGGGTCCAAATGAGAGGAAGGGGTGAGGGCTTCCATCACCCAGGATCATCAGGGACACACAGCTGTCCATCTTCAAGAGAAGGAAGCCGGGTGGACTCCAGCAAGGCGCCTCTGGCCTCTGTTTTGTCCTCTTTTCAGTAGGAATGTGTCCCCCCTCCTTGCTGGGCTACTGAGAACCTGTGGTGGGTAAAGACAGAGGGGGAGTACCTAGCCTGGGACTGCCGTGTTAAAAGGGACCTAACGGCAGAACCTTTAGTTTGATGGTGGGCGGGGGCACTGGCTGATGTCCTGCCTTTCTCCCGAGGTAGATTCTAGAAGACACAGAGACAAGGGCTACCATGGGTTTGGACACTTTGGTCCAGCTTGCTGTGCGGAAGCATATCTCTGCTGTCCTATCGCTGCCCCAGCCAAGTCAGTGCAGCCTGGAAAAGGGCTCGAGACTATAGCCATGGTCCACCTTAGAAGGTAACAGGTGGACCCTTCCCTTCTCTCGGGACACCGCTTCCTTTACCGTGCCCCAGGCTTTAATTCATGACCTAGTCAGTCTGCGCTGACTCCTCACTCAGGGGCAGCCATGTGCTGTGCAGATGGCACAGTCCCGGGGCCCTGAGGTCTGACCAGCAGCAAGACCATGTTTCTCTGTAAGGGTAGAGCCACCTTGGCCTTCCTCTCCTGACTCAGGGAAGTTATCCCCATAAAGCAAAGAGCTCACATGCCTGGATCACAGACACTCCTGGAGAGGGGCTCTGCAGGACACTGCTTGCTGGCGTATTTAACTCTGTTAGCAATCCCTCACAGTGTGTGTGGATCTATGCGTGTGCGCGTGCACGTGTGCATGTGCGTGCGTGCGTGTGTGTGTGTGTGTGTGTGTGTGTGTGTGTGTGTGTGTGTGTAGTAGTAGTGGTGGTGTTTGGTTGTTTAATTGTTTTGTCATGCTTTGAGACAACATCGTTCTCTAGCTAAGAATAACCTCTACCTTACAATCCTCCTGGCTCAGCCTCCCATTGCTGGATTACAGGTGTGCAACACCATGCCTGGGTCACAGTGGGTATTACCAGCTGCCCTCTACAGGTAAGTAACCAAGAATTATGGGCACCTTACCAGCAAGGGTTAAGGGTTTGGATTCTAGTCCAGGTCCCCATGACCTTGCCCACACAGCCCTTTACCTTGGAAGGAGGGCTCTGGGGCTGTGTTCTGTTGTATTTGGGGTTTCACTCGTTGGCAGTGGCCCTGACGTTTGGTCTCTTCCTCTGGCAAGTGGCTGTGGGGTTGGCTGTCAGTCCTTAGAAACATCGCAGAATGACCTCGCTGGCCGTTGCTTTGTCTGTAGAGGGGAAACTTGGGGTCCTGAGTGGGTAGCCAGCTTGTCTGGGGTTGGGGTTGGTCAGTGGAGCTGAGCCAGGTCTTCCTCCTCCTTTCTCACGCCCTGACTCTGCTCCACATCTGCACAGTCAGCACACTGCAGGGCCCAAACTTCCATCCCCTGGGAACCATGGATGCCTTTCCCACCTACCTCCTGGGCTCTGTTGCTTCCCTGGCTCTTCACTATAGGGAGATCTTGGAGGAATGGCAAGCTCGGTATGTGTTACAGCACAACTCTTGATTTAGCTGTGCACCCCGCCCCCAGCTCCCCTGAAGCCTGCTCCTCCCACGGTCTTCCCTGATTTAGTATCCGTACCATCATCTACCCAGTTATTCAGGCAGAAAGCCTTGGAATTATCCTACATTTCCCTTCCCCTCAACCCCCTCATCTGATCCATCAGCAAAAACATATTGTAATCGACCTTTCTTCAGCATCCTTACCTTCATCCACCCAACCCAACCAAACTGGTCCTTCCACATTGCTGGATGCAAAGGCATGCACCTGGAATCCCAGCATTCCTACAGCGAGATGAGAGGAGATGAAGGCTGGAGAACTACCTGGAAGCTTGTCGGCTGTTGATCTAGATTAATTACACAGTGCAGCAGAAACTACAAGAGATCTTCCCTCAACAAGGCAGAAGGCGAACGCCAATTCCTAATAGTGGTCCTCAGACCTCCACATGCATGCCAGGACTGACTTTCTCTCACACACAGACAACAACAAAGAAATATTTTTGAGGAGAGCCTCAATTACAAGTTAAGTCCACCCTAGGCCAGTGTCTCTGAAAAGACAGACTTGTCCTGTCCTGTAAATTCCTTATGGGGGCACTCTCTTGGACTGGGACTGCAGCTTGGCAGTAGAGAGCACTGGCCTCGCTTGTGTGAGGACCTGCGCTCACTCGATCTCTCACACCAGAGCCAAGAACAAACAAACAAACAAACCGGAGAGTAGGACTCTTCTAAGAACACATGTCCTTCGTCTTCCGTTTGGGCAAGTTTAACTTCTTGGTGCTTCGGGTTTGTTGGCTACAACGTGGGGAAAATAGCAGCGCCCACCTCCTGGAGGAGACATGGAGATCAAAGAGAAAATGAGGAGACTGCTTACCACAGTACACTGGGGTGTGTGTAGGGTTAACTCTATTGTGATTATTATTGTCTGTTGTTGTGAGGCAGCATCCTGCTGTGTAGCCCGGGCTGGCTTTTTGGGGGGACCACAGGCATGAGCCATCACACCCAACTCTATTATCATCTTTAAATTGTTATTATCATGACCATCACCATCTGTTTTAGCTTTCTTTTCAAACTTTTTTTAGACTTATTTATGCATATGAATGTTTTGCCTGCAGGTATGTCTGTACACTGGAGGTGGGAAGAGGGCATCAGATCCTCTGGTACTAGAGTTACAGATGGTTGTGAGCCACCAGATGGGTGCTGGGCATCAAATCCAGGTCCTCTACAAGTGTGGCAGCAAGTGCTCTTAATCACTGAGCCATCTCTCCAGCACTCGGTTTTTCTTAAAGAGGCAACTATTTTTTCTCTGTCTTTGTGTAATAATAGCATGTACATTTTACCATTTTTCGTGGTCCAGACCCTAATCCACTTAACAAGAGGACCAAACTCTTTAACTAGCAAGTAAACTTTGGGTCTCCTCCTTAGCCTCAGAGTAAGTGTCGTTCCCTGGGGCTCATCCCTCTGCAGTCACATTGCTCATCGAGGCTCTGTGTGATTCGGGCTGTGTCTCCCTAAACACTTGCCCGCCTGGAAGGTGCTTTTCCTTCTCTATCTACCTAACGCCCATTCTTCCTTCCATCTCAACTTGATCATTATCGTCTCAACCTTCCAATCCGGTGACTAGGGACGTCCCCTCATTTTATACTCCGAGAGTATACATTTCTACTCTTGTCGCTGTAACAGAATACCCGACAGAAGCAGCTTATGGAGGGAAGTCTCCTGGTCTGAGGGTGTAGTCTCTTGTGGCAGGGAAGTCCTGGCAGCAGAGACTTGGGGCAGCTGGTCACATTGCAGCCACAGTCAGGAAGCAGAGAGCAGAGAAGGCTGGTGCTCGGCTAGTTTTCTCTTGTCTATCTAGACTGAGATCCCAGCCCATGAAATGAGGCTGCCCATATATAGCGTAGGTCTTCCTACCTCAATTAACCTAAATTAGATGATCCCTCATCCATATGCCCAGAGGCCTCTCTTGAAATGATTCTGAATTCTGTAGCCTGGCAGTCCATATTAACCATCACACTAGATGTGCTCTGTGCTCTGCTGTAGCACTTACCCAGATTATATGCTTCCCTCCGTTTGAATTGACTGCCTCTGTGATGGACCTAACTCCATGAGAACAGAGGCCAAATCCTTCTTTCCCTATGCTGACATGGTATTTTGCACTATGCTAGATGGTAAATAATGAATGAATTCGTGAATGAGTAGAATGGTGAGGAAACTCAAAGACAAAAATCCTTGCAGGGAATAATTTGTTGTCCTTGCAAAAGTAACTCACCTTTCTCATTGACATCAGGTCATGAGGCTGGAAGAGCCAGCTGACCTCCAGTAGGCTCCACGTGCTGAAATTGGGTGCTCACAGGGCATCCATGGCCTTAAAAAAGGACAGAAAGGCTTTGACCCATTGAGCAGAGCTCAGAGATGGACACGAAGCTGCAGTGTGATGAAGTCTGTCTGGCCTCCTGTCTGTGGGCCAGACACATTTGCTGTGCCTTCCTTCTTGAATCAGGGTGAGGAGGAACCCACCCGACACTGGAGCTCTGTGCTCTGGTTTTTCTGGCTGATGACACATCCTTTACTGGGTTAGAGCAGAGGTTCTTCAGACCTGGGCCAGTCTCCGACAGAGTCCACACTGGGACACGGAGAAATGAGAACAACGGGGACAGCATGGGGACTTTTCACAAAGCTAAATTAATTCTGAGATTGTCTGTCCTACATTTTTCTGTGTCAGCCTGCCCTTTCTTTTATGAAACCAGGGTGACAGGAATTGACGATGTTGTGTCCTTGCTTGTCAAAATCACCTACTTAATTCTCTTTTGAAATTTGCTGGCTGTGGAGAGTGGCCGAGCTGGGATGAGAATACATGTTTGCTAGTTTGCCAGATACCTAACTCCCTGTGCTCTACAGGTCCCGGGAGAGAATCCTACACGAGGGAGATTCGAGAACTGCTGTAAACTGTTGACGGACTACCGTGAAGAAGAGAGCCACGCTCTTGTTATAACCAGCGAGGCAGTCTCAGACAGGAACAGTTCAGCGGATATCAATCAAACGGTGGTTCCAATCCCTGCCCTGGTGAGGCTGAAGTAGGTGGATCTCTGAGTTCCAGGCCAGCCTGGTCTACAGAGCGAGACTTTGTCTCAAAACAGACAAACAAAAGCAAACCGAAACAAAACTTACAAAAAACAAATCAACTGATTTATAGTAAGTTTTTGACGGGTGAATGGGCTGTCCCGGGCTATCCCTGGGCTACCAGTGCCTAGACACTACTCAAACGTGTGGGGACTGATGAAGGATCTTGGTCATGGAGTCAAACAGATCTATATTTTAACACCAGTTTCACCACTTATTACATGTGTGATCTAGAGCAAATAAATTTCCTGCTCCTTAAAATGGAAAGTAGAAAAGCCAGGCAGTGGTGGCACACACCTTTAATTCCAGCACTCTGGAGGGAGAGGCAGGCGGACCTCTTATGAGTTCAAGGACAGCCTGGTCTATAGAGCTAGTTCCAGGACCACCAAGGCTACACAGAGAAACCATGTCTCAAACAACAACAACAACAATAATAATAAAATGGGAGGTAGAGACTAGAGAAATGGCTCAGAAATTAAGAGCAGTGGCTGCTCTTCCAGAGGACCTGGGTTGATTCCCAGCCCCCACATGCACCTCACAACTGTCTTGTTACTCCAGTCCCAGGGATCTGAAGCCCTTTTCTGGGCTCCTCAGGAACCAGGCATTCACACTGTGCACAGATATACATGCAGACAAAATACCCACGCACATTAGAAAAAAAACAAACAAAAAAACAACCTTATTTTTAAAAAGGAGACGAGGGGCTGGAGAGATGGCTCAGAGGTTAAGAGCACTGGTTGTTCTTCCAAAGGTCCTGAGTTCAATTCTCAGCAACCACATGGTGGCTCACTACCATCTGTAATGAGATCTGGTGTCCATTTCTGACCTGCGGGGATGTGTGCAGGCAGAATACTGTATGCATAATAAATAAATAAATCTTAAAAAAAAAAAAAAAGGAGATGAAAGGGAGATGTGGTACTAGGTGAACCTATCCTAGGGAAAATTAATGTGGTCGTGGAGGGCAGGAAAACTCCTTAAGGAAGTGACTAACCATTGCAGCGATGGCTGAAGGCTAAGGAGGGCTAGCTGGGGTAACAGGAGATGTGGTGGAGAACATTCTAGGCAGAGAAGAAAGACACACAAGGGCAGGATGAAGTTGGGGGGACTAGAGGAGAAATGTATCCCAGAGATGCTGAGGATTTTCACTTTTGTCCTCAGCAGTAAGCAGCAGACGGCATGATCAGATCTGCAGTTTTAAGATTTTTCTATGGTGATGGGTGGTGGTAGTTGGAGGTGGGATGGGCGAGCATAAAAGGCCGAAGCCTGAGGGAAGTCAATGTGTAGCGGTTCAGGAAATACATAATGGAACCCTGGGCGAGGGAGGCAGTGGGGGAGAAGATGAGTGCAGGTCTTAAGGACCACTTAGGAGACGAAGTGGTCGTGACTGAGCAAAGTATTCCAGGAAGGATGAGGGTGAGACGGTTGCCGAGGATGATACCCAGATTTCCGGATAGAACTGTTGCCAGGCAACAGAGTGAAAGCCAGAAGGGAGTGGGGGAAAGCCTGGGACATGATTTCCCCTGCAGTTGTGATCAAGTCCATGTTTGCAAAATGAAAGGTGTTAGGATGTGTGGCTCCCTGGTTGCTTGCCGAGGGAGAAAGGACACCTTACGAAGATTGCGTGATGCAGGTAAACAGGCCTAAGGCTTAGGTCATGACTTAGGTCATTCAGGTCAGCTGTGTGACCTTAAGAGGCAGCTTCACCACTCTGGGCATGAGCTCTAGAACGAGTGGCCCACTTAGCCTAGAAACTTAACAGGCATAGCCTCTCCAGCTTTGTTTGTGTTCAAGGTCACTATTTATGGGACTGTTCCTTGGGAAGCTGTTTCCTATAGATTCCGTTCGACTAGCACATAAAGGTGAAAAAGCCTTAAGTCTAAGAATGTGACCCCAGGAGCCCATTTGCTCTCTCTGCTAATTTCACAGAGTGAGATGATATCTGGATCCGACCCTTGTCTCTGCCCTCCTGCACCCCCTGCCCGTAGGAGGAGGGGCTAAGCAGTTTGTTCAAAGCCTCAAGGCTGGAGGACAGAAGAGCACCCTTTTGGAGGGAGTCCAATGTTCCTTTTCTTACTTGGGGCTGGACATCTTTCTGCAGCCTACACAGCCTCTTCCTAGGACAGATGGAGCTGGGCAGAACTGTGGGGACAGGCTAAGGTCATAGACACAGGTGGCGCTGAGCATCTGGGGTGAGGGGAAGCGACAAGGGGGTATCTACAGCATTGTCCTGCTAAGCCGGGGTCTTTTTCTAACTCTTGGAAGATATCGTGTACCCCTGCAATGCTCCTGAATGTCTTCCTGGAAATACAAGGTGAACTTTGGGGGGAAAGTGGATGCTGAAAACCCAGCCTGTGCGCCTTCCCCGCCCCTGCAAACGAGATATGAAAACATGGTTTGAACCCGCTGCTGAGGTTTCCATGGTGGCTCCACTCTGCCGCCCTTCCCATTGGCTAAGACGTCCTGCTCTGGTTTTAACAGAGGCTCAGATACGGGTCTCTTTCCTGATTGGCCAGCTTGTGCTGCAGCGCCATGGCAACAGAGACAGGGGGACCAGTCACTGCCGGAAATTGAGTCACCATCTACCTGGGGTGGGCTACGATCCATGGGGCTGCTTGTACGGGGTGGGAGGAGAGACAGGTAACTCCTGAGCCGGTTTATAGGCAAGCGTTGGACTTCCCACACTGGTCACTCGGAGTTTTGTGGGGCTGGAGGAGGGGGCGTGGCTTCTGCTCATGTCTATTTTTTTTTTTTATCTCGAAGCATCCTCTTAGTCCCCTCTTTTCTCTGAGACTTCTATGTCCCCCAGAAGGAAAACAAACCTCTGGCAGCACCAGAAGTTAACTCGTTTGCCCAAATTCATATCAATGGCAAGCCAGGATTTGAGTTTATGTTGTATCGCCTGACTTAAAGGCTTCAAAGGGCTATTGTGAGAGAATCCAGGGGTCTTTTCATTTAAAAAAAAAAAAAAAGCAAATGACTAACCCTCTTTTTATTTGTCAAACACCAAATGCTTTTCAAAATACTCTTCCATCTAAAATATCCAATCATCTCAACAGACCGAGGAGTTGTTTAGGTCAGGATTGAATGGCTCACCTACACATAAAGTCACCAGAGCTCAGAGAAGTCCCGTAATTTGTTTTGTGTCCCAGAGTTGGAATGCCCACCCTTCTGAGCCCTTGTCAAGGCCACATAGCCAAATCATTGCCTTCTCCACTCGAGTGCTCCAGGAAAAGGAATTATTTTCGGCTCCGAGCCGCCATGTGTGTGCTGGGAACTGAGCCCCGGGTCTTCTGCAAGAGCCATAAGTGCTCTTAACTGCTGAGTCCAGTCCTCTCACAGTCTTAAATCAGGATTCCAAAAACAAGGCCACTAGACTTGGGCCGTGGGGCGCTCTTCCTGCTCCCACAGGGAGCAGATGGTGGCCTATGCCTGCTCTGGGAGCTGACTCTCCTGTTCTTGGGTGTATACTTTTCCTTTAACTGAAGCTGCAGTCGTGGATCAATTTCTTGGTAGACTCTGAGGACTGTATTTGTGTGAAGGAATCTGAAATAGTTGTTCCCCAAAGAGTGACTCAGCATGCCTAGCTGGAGGGTATGGGCAGTAGAAAGAGAGGAAAGAAACCCCCAGTGGCTTTAGTAGTTCAAATCTAAGCTAAAAATAGTCTGGAAGTTCTCTTTCTTTCCTGTTCAGCTTGGGCTTCCTGAAGTTCTTGCCTTGGAAACAGCCCCGTCACCAGGCCCACCCTCCTGCCCTTCCCGGAGCACTGCTTTTGAAGATGACCTTGTAAAAAGTCCACACCTGCCGCTCCACTCTCCTAAATGCCACACCAGCAAGGAGCAGACACAGTTTCTCTGCAACAACAGTGAGAGGCATCTCTCCTGCCCCAAGCACCAAGGCACTGGGGGAATGTGGGGAACAGCCTGGAGTGGCTCTGCTTTTATGAAAACTGCAGCCTAGCAGTCTTCTCTTGAGGGACTGTCCCAAAGTGACTCCATCAGGCTCTCAGATGGTAATGGAAGACTTGAATTGGATGGAACAGGGTGATGGGACAGTCACAGAGTAGTGGTAGATGGGTTGGAGGGAGGATTGGGGTGGTACAAGATGGCCAGACATGAGTGCTGGGAACTGAACTCCAGTCTTCTGCAAAAACACTCTTAACCGCTGAGAATCTCCAGCCCTGAGATGCCTGTTCTTGGTGCTGGGTAAGGGTCCGCACCCCACATGAAACTCCATTGGAAATATTCCAATCAGAGATATCCCAAGTGCAAAGACTCTGAAGTAGGACGGAATCTGCTGATCTGAGCCTTGAGTAACACCTTTCTCCACTTTCCCAGTTTCCTAGTTTGTGGAGTGGGAACAACAGATGCCTCCCCGCTTCCCTTGTAGGTATACAGAGGGCAAGGGGCCCCCAAAGCACACAGGGTTTTAAAAGGGGAGGGGCTCCCTGACTCCTTTCTGGCCTATATATAGAATGCCTTGGGAAGGCTCAGGATTTTGGTTGCTGGTTGCTGGCTCTTGGTGGGCGTCCTCCACACTTACTGGTGTTTGTTGGGGACCACCAGGGGACAGGGCAGCAATGCTCAGTGCCTGGGGTCACAGGAGAGTCTGGGGGAGGAAAGCCTTACTAAGCTTAGGACATGAAACCATGGCTTGCTGCTCTGGACGGTGGCTGAGGAGAAAAAAGCTGGGAAAATTCTGGGGCCCAGGGAAGGCCTGAAGGAGTTGAGATTCCAAGTGGGCCAGGGAGGGGCTTTGTAGACACACAGATTTAGCTCAAGCAAGGGAAGCTGTTGGCAGGCAAAATGCCAGGAGCTGTTTGTCGACTTCCTACTTTTTATCGGAGTAAACAAGACGGACATGGGAAACCTCTTAGGGCACCAGGGGACCCAAAGGAGGTGCCAGGGCTGGAGAAGCTTCCAGGAGGAAACAAGGATGATGCTTCAGAGGCCTAAAGGATGAGTCAGGTGAAGGCCCAGAGGCAGAGGGAGAAGTCGGAAATAGCAAGGGGGTCACTATGGAAGGGACAATGTCTTCAAGAGGCCAGAGGGGAAGAAAAGTTGGGGGTTTTCAAGCTGTCTAAAGCAGAGAGTTCAAGTAATGGGTGGGATCAGCTTGGCGCCAGCTCGAGACGCCAGTCTTTCTCTGACGCACTAGACACAGGGCTGCCGGGTTTAGCAAACTGAGGCTATATTGTTCAATTTTCAGACGAATAGCAATGTGTGTTTAGTAGGTGTGTACACACATATTTGGGTCACCCCTTACTGAAGGCCCCTCTATCTGAAATCAGCTGACCTGCACCTCCCGCATTCTCTTTGCTGTCCCTCTGTCCCTGTGTAGGGTCACAGAATGGCTTTAGGTATCGAGATGATGTGGTCAGACTTTAGCTAGGGAAGCTGCCTAGATCTGCGGGGAAATGCACCCGAAGGAGACCAGGAAGAGGTGGGGGGGGGCAGGTGAGGCTTCTGCGATTGTCCTGGACCCCAAAAGGAATGTCGTTGTGCCTCTGAAGTCATCTGCCTTTCCCACCAGGCAGGTGGCCCTGAATAAACCTCTCAGCTGGCCAAGTCCTAGGGGACTGCTGATCTGGTCAGCCCCAGATCTGCATGTGAACATCTGGACCACGCGGCTCCCTTGTCCCTCAGCATCCTCATCTGTTAAAGAGAAGATGGGGGTACGTCCATTATGGGCTCTTCCATCTCCTGTACCTCTCCTGGTGTGGGACATGATGATGAAGACATTTGGCTCCCCGCTCCTTTTCCTCCTGTCTCATGCTGCTCTTTCCCTGGCCACCGGATCCATGACTGACCCTTCCCATCTTACTTGGAAAAAGAGGCTGCACATTTGTGGAGGGCCTGCTACGTGCTAGCAAATCCTCGGCATTCCTTGCCTCACCTAGCGCAGCAGCCCTGAATGGGTTTGCTCCATTCCTCAGAAAGCAAACCGAGGCTCTTGGTCACACAGCTGTGCAGGGGCTGGCTGGTGCCGGCACTCCCCCCACCCCCCACTGTCTCCAGGAAGCTTCCCCCAGGAAGCCCTAATCCCCCATTATTTAGGACTTGGGCTCAGTCAGCAGTCTTGTTGTCCCACTGCCGGCCCACATGCTGCCCTGGCTCTTTCAGAGTTAAGCTGGCTCAGTGCTCATCTGCCAGGCTCGACGGCTCAGGAAGCCCTTTCTTTCCCATCTGCGCCCTCCCCGTGGCTCCACAGAGCCCAGACACGGCCCCTCCCAGCCCTTCTCGCCTGCAGCCCTGCGGCAGTGAGGCCACATTAAATATTAACGGGGCCGCTCCTGGCACCACCGTGACGTCAATTACTGCTTGGTGAGGGCTGCGGTTGCCTTCCCAAGGTGAAGCAGTGACCGGAATTCAGATAGCTTCAGTGGTGTCCCAGGGGCCCGGCTGTCGGGACTTGGAGAAGATACTGCTAATGTAAGGCGTGGCAGGAGTCCAAAGCTGTCTCCGCTGCTCCTCCCATAGCATTCTGCTCCCGGCATGATGGATTCCATCATCTGGCAAATATCTGCTGAGCACCTGCTCTCCACCCAACAGGGCACTATGCTCCAGGGATGCATCTGTAGCGTGGCAGTGGCTTTGCATCAGGGGGCTACCCTTGTGGCAGAGAAGAGAGAGAAAGCCCCGCTGCAGGACAGGACAGATACCCACCCTGGCCCGACCCCAAAGGATCCTTCCAGAGAGCTAGTTTGTGCTGAAACCGGATGAAGGAAAGGATCCCAGCTAGGTAGGAAAAGAGGAGGGGTAAGGCAGAGGGAACCTGACTGGAGTACAGAGCCCGGCTCCAAGCCTTTCTAGCCATTTATCTGTAAATTGGATTTCACCTCAGGATTGCTGTGAAGGATAATAGAAGCCCTGCTAGTGATAACACAGGCCACAGGCACGAAAGGCCAGACAACGCGAGAGCAGAGGGCACTGCTGGAGATAGCTCCCAGGCCTGACCTGCTTAGGCACATCTGTCACACTAGCACTCCAGAGGCTGAGGCAGGAGGATCAACTTCTGCTACATAGTGAGATCCTATCTCAAAATAACAGCCCCCACACCTAAAAGAAAACAGCTCCCGGCCTTGGTCTAATCTCCTCACCTTCCCAGGAATTCTTTTCTGAGCAGACAAACAGGTTCAAAGAGGAGCCCTGACGGACCGAGCCAGGCTGGGGATTCACTGGACACCATTTCGGGTTGTATCTTTTTACCCACAGTTCATCACAGGCAATCCTGAGAAAGAGTTATTAGTGCCAGACCTACAGCCCCAACAGCTAGTAACAGTGAAAGGCAGAGAAAACAGAGTTAGTTATTCAGTGTGGCCACAGAAGAACACATAATGAGATCTAGCAACCCCCCCACCCCCCACCCCCAGTCAAGTCCTTGGGCCCTGATTGAGGTTTAGGTTTAAATAGATGCCAAAGG